CAAAAGGCTCAGGATGTTGATATTTAGTTAGTAGCATATGCTGGGATCAAGGACTACTATGTTTGTTAAAGTGAATGACTTTGACTTATATTCAAGGTCACAGGGGTCAAATTTGTTTAAAATCTTTAAACAACCTCTTATGAATAACCATGGGTCCCAGGATGTTTATACATTGCAAGTTGCATCCCGAGATGAAAGGCTATACAATGTGTTCATCATAATGACTTTGTTCGACTTTCAATCACAGTGGTGAAATGTTTAAACAAAAATTAACAGGGTCTTTTAAATGAATTTTAATCATAAATACTGATATTTTGCCTGTAGCTTTATTTTAGATCACTTTTAAGGTTACAAGTGTGAGTTTTATACCAGGTGAGCGATGCAGGCCCATTGGGCCTCTTGTTATGTATATAGGGTCTATTTAAAAAAAAATCAGTTTTTGTGGTGCTATAGAAGTGACCTTAATCAGCTACACAAGGGAACCAGCCTAAAAGCAATTAGTATGGTCTTTCAAGTGAATTCTGAAAATACAATTGTAAGGACATTGAAAAAAATACTTAGCATGTAGCCAAATTGTTCTTCCTGACCTAAATCAAAATTGATACACACAACTTGGACTCAATGAGACCAGAAACATGTGTACATCATTTAAGAAGGACCTATATAGAACATTCAGAGATATAGCAAGAACAAAGTTTGACCCCAAAATCCATTTTGAAAAATAAATATCATTCCTGTACTTTATGAGAAATAGCAACAAGAGACCCAGAGGGCCTGTTATCCGTAACCTGGATATTTCAGTAATCACGAAAAGACATATATTCTCATTAAAAGCAAGACTGAAAATAAACATGCTACTGGTAAAATATCATTAAAGCTGACAGTGCAAGTTAAACAGCTTCTAATTGAGATTAAAAAAAAAATGTTTTTTTTTCTTTCTGGTTTTGAGATCTTCCTCAGTGCATGACTATCTCTTCCGGCTATCGTTTCTAAGGAAGTGCCGACATTTTAGTTTGTCCTTGCTTGGTTACGAGTTTGGGTCTATCTGGGTATAAAAAGTGCATTCCCTGTCAAGCCGGTTATCCTTCTAAATCTACCACTGATCGTTTTGCGATTCAATCACTGCACACTCTGATTGGCAACCTATAAAAATCAAAGTACTGAAACGTACGTTCGTTTAACGCGATCAAAAAGGTTAGACCATATTTTGAATTTGTTATTAAGTATGGACGGGCCTTGTAATTAAATGTTGTTTTTGGCTAGTCTAGAACTTGGCAAAGTCTTTCCAGGTCTGCATGTGTATTTGCAAGTCAATCAAGTTTTACTTCTGAAGTGTTACATTTAAAAATTGAATGATCCCGCTGTCTTCGTCCTCGTACTATACAATGCGAAAATGAAAGTGCGCAAGTCTAAAACAAATCACTGTAATGGAGCGTACACATAGTTGATTCTGTAAATGAAAACATCCAAACATAATTTATTATACATGTAACACATTAATTCATTAAGCTAAATGTGACACCTGACACCTCCTCAACTCGATGTATTCAACAGCAATTATCGTATTGTTCTTAAGTCTCTCGATCGACTTTCAAAGCCATACTGGCTCCTGTAAAAACATGAACCTGTGAAGCTGTCTTAGGTTTTGATTTTAACTGTGGAACTCATTTATGCATGACCACACTTTGTGACCAATTTTCCGGTTTACACTGTCGTCTGTTTGGGTGTACAAATCATTGAACGGACTCGCAGTAAGTACAGAATACTGTTGGGTCAACATTAATGAAGTTTTTTTTTTTTTATTATAAACAACATGGTTTTGACAGTCTGCACATTTTACAGTCTGAAGTTTTATCGTAAATTCTTTTTACCGATTTAGTCTACTCGCAAAAGATGTTGACAAACACGGATGGCGAGATGTCGTACTGTTGCGTTTTATTTGTAGCAAAGAACTAATAAGTGATAAAATGAAATTTGAACACTATGAAGTAGACGATGTTTTGATGTTGGATTTACGCTGTTGAAACCAATACTTACTTCGAAGAATCCTAGTTATCAGAGTTTTATTAACTAAGATAAAGAAGAGACTTGGCCGGGACCGGAGAAATACTTCGAGATAAACAGGGTTTCGAGTTAAAAGAGTTTGAGATAACGAGGTTTGACTGTATATAACATTTTAGGAAAAACGAACACAAAACAGTCAGTTGAGATGCAGGATAAACACCATTTAAATTTCCTGAAAATAATGTGAACGAATATTTACTCTTACATATGTATCTAATGTCTGTGTTGGCAATAGTCTGAAATGTATTTCCCCTCCAAGGAACAACAACAAGTACTGCTTCAAGAAGCTTTGGGCTCTGCTTCTGCCATAAATAAAGAGTTGACTTCCGAATGAATAATTATATGACTTGCAATATCTCCTTTGGTAGAGGGTGAAACATGTATTTCCTACAGACCATCAGCAGTGCACGTGTGTCACAAATGTCTTTAGGTCAGCTAGGTCACATGTCAGTATACACCTCTTCGTATGATTATTAGCCCGAAGGGCAAGTGAGCTTATGCTGTGGTGCGGCGTCCGTCCGTCCGTCGTCAACTTTTTCATTAAAACTACTTCTTCTCAACAACCGAAAGGCCCAGGTTACTGATATTGGGCCTGTGGGATGAAGGGCTACCAGGTTTGTTCAAATGAATGACCTTGACTCACTTTCAAGGTCACAGGGGTCAAATGTGTTAAACTCTTAAAACAACTTCTTCTCAATAGCCAAAACGCCCAGGGTACTGATATTGGGTCTGTATCATGCTGGGATGAAGGGCTACTAGGTTTGTTCAAATGAATTACCTTGACCCACTTTGAAGGTCAATGGGTTCAAATGTGTTAAAATCTTCAAACGACTTCTTCTCAGTAACCAAAAGGCCCAGGGTACTGATATTGGGCATGTTGCATACTGGGATGAAGGGCTACCAAGTTTGTTCAAATGAATTACCTTGACCAACTTTCAAGGTCACAGGGGTCAAATGTGTAAAAATCTTCAAACAACTTCTTAATAACCAAAAGGCCAAGGGTACTGATATTGGGCCTGTGGAATGC